CAGCACAAGCAAAAACAGATTATAATGGTGAAAATGCCATTTTTTCTCTGTCTCGTGTATGTATTAAAATATAAGATGACATTGTCTGACATTTATTTATTAAATCTTCATTGATTTATTTAGTGTATGAGAACGGATGCTGGCACTGTTGATTGTGTTGTCAAAAATCGATTTGGTGAAGCAAGGACAAGTTGTCGTGTTGAAGTGGTCAATGATCCTGAATTTGACCGGTGAATATAATCGAATATCAAGCACAATAAAGAGGAATGGTTCATTTGATTTTCTTTTCTTTTTTTTTAATTTTGTCAAAAACAAAACTTAATTATTTAATCATTTCATTTCATTTTATTTCGTATAACTTTTTGTTTTTGTCTATTTTCCTACTAGTCTAATACGTTGATCATAATTTTTTTTTTCTGTTGTATCCTAGCATTGTATGGCTTTCTGTTTTGTTGTCAATGTGTATGAATGAATAGTGAGAATTAATAAGAAAAAGAAAAAAGAATAGATGAATATAATAAATGAATATTTCCGAAGAATTTAACTTTCAATAATCATAAAAATGATTGAAAATATGAATATAAAAATAGTTACTTACGACTTCAACATTACTCTTTTGTGTTTATAAGGCTTATCATGCAAAAGTTTTTTAAGACAAATTTTTTTATTATAGTAATTTTAGAATTTGTTGAAGGATAGTTCCAAATAAGATCATATATCGACCATCCTCTTAGATCTCACTTTCAATAGAATAGAAAGGTAGAGCATGAAATTCTACACATTTCTGTCTATTTATTTTGTTTTTCGTTGAATGCAAAAAAAAACACAATTTGTGTGAACTAAATAGTCTTCCGGGATCGTAGTTTTTCTATTATAAGCCCAATATGAAAACTAATAGCGTATATCGATGTAGATTTTTATGCTCCACAAATTGACATATCGACTATGTTCATCGATTACTTTATGCAGAGTCAGACAGGTATGATATCATACTTGTCTGACTCTGCATAAAGTAATCGACGAACATAGTCGATATGTCAATTTGTGGAGCATGAGAAACTAGATCGATCTATGCTAGTAGTTTTCATATTGGCTTTATAATAGGAAAACTACGAGTACCATAGTTATTTTGGAGATAAATAGACAGAAATGTGTAGAATTTCATGCTCCATCTTTCTACTCTATTGAAGGTGAAATCTAAGGGGATGGCAGATATACGATCTTATCCGACGATGTTCTTTATCGCGAAATAAAATGATAATAATTGTATATGTTTCTAGTTAAATAAAAATAGAGACAGATTTGTATTCATCCGATTAGTTATATTAAGGAAAAGAGAAGTTTATCTGACACCAAAAATGAATCATCTTATCAAGACAAGAGTCTTTCATTGCCTTGAAATCATATCGTCGATACATATGATCAGCACAATAACAACGCAATTTGATATCTGAGACTAATCAAATGAATTAAAAGAATGACGAAAAAAAAAGCATACTTTTGTATATGACTATCTATTTTTAATTGAAATATTTCTTCTTACGATATATATTCGTGTTAGTACTTATCTTTATGAAATGCGTAAAGACAAAATGGCATTATCCAATTGATTTCTTAATAGTAAAATACAGTATATAATCTTTAATCGAAATCTAGCATTCCAAGAGACGTAAAAAAAACACACCCCATTTTTCTTAAATATTTGCGTGAAATACTTACACACATATCTGAAGAGTATGTGCATGACTCAAGTATTTCATTCACTTTGCTATTCTAGAAAAGTGAGAACGTGTTAGATTTTATAATGTTGTTTAATGGGAAGGTAAAGTAACGCTTTTAAGTCTATTAATTCAACAGTCAGTATCATCTTTGAAAAATACATATTAATTCTGTAAGTAACGTTATTTCATTTTCTTAGATATGTTCTCAAATATAAATTCATAGTTATTCGGAAAAATGAGAATGAAAGTTGATTATAATTAACTGTTACATTTTTCTCCTCTATGCGTTTATTTTCGTATTAAAAAGATATTTATTTAATTCAGTTGGAAGTTCTTACACAATGGAAGAAAAAACAATGTTTCCTCTCTTTGACATAAAATAAATAATAAATATATATAAGAAACGAGCTTTCATATCAATTAGACAGGCCATTGGAAAATGCACAAAAGAATTCATTAATAATAAAGAATAAAACTATTGTTCAAAAGTATAAACTTGATTTCAAAAAAATATTTTTAGAATATGATGAATACGCTAGATCTTGTCAAATTTTGCATTATTTACAGCAAAGTTATAAACTTATTTTGTCTTCTATTGATTATTGTGCATGCATCTTCATAGGTGATCTTTTATATATTATCAATAATACAGTTATGATGAACTGATGTTAAGTTACTAGGCAGTATTTTTCTGTAGTTTCATTAATTTTAGTAGGGACGTCTTGAAAGTCAAGGTTAGCTAAAAAATTTTTTTAGTTAAGAATCTTTTGGTTCAATTGTCTGATGAGTTATCGAATTGATATTCAATGATATATGTAGTTCATAAAAGTTTAGAATACTATACAATTAGTTTGAACGGCAAATAAGAGTAGAAAATCAATGTCTATTTGAGAAAATTGAATAAATAACATTAAAATTAATACTAAACTTATAGATAAAGCGGTAGTGTAGCAAAAATCTTATCAAAGTTTTTCATTGTGCACGCAGTCATTAATAAATATTAATAGAAAGAAATGAAACCATATTTATCGACATCAATGCTAATGACACAAATCAAGTGTTAATATCAGAATTGCATCTGGAATGGAATATGGAGATTATTCAACCTTAAAGGTCATATCCTTCTATAAACGGTCTCATTTGTAAATTATTTTATCTCAACAAATATATATCGTTAACATATTAGTGTTATAGTTTTTAACAACAATGCGATTTGATGATTATTATCATTAAGTTCATTGAATTTAATAATTTGTATAAACTCAAAAAAACGACATTAAACATTGAATGCATCATTCGACGATCAAATATAAACAAAAAAAAAGTAATGCATAGTCAATGAAGAAAGCTAAAAGTTTGTTGTTTATGGTAGAAATAAATTTATTTTTATGACTTTTACAACACATCAAACAGTATATTTTGCTTATTGAAATAATATATCTTTATATCCTAATGCTTAAAAGCTTCGTTCTCTCGTCTAACAAATTAGATTGTATTATGTTATATTTATTCTGTAATGCGAAGAGATGTCTTGAATATCGAACAAGATCCTGTTTTTTTTTGTAAGCAAAAGCTTACGGACGGTAGAATCGATTTATTTCATTTTTCTTCCCATGATGGGATTATTGTTAACAAATTTTTCTTTCCTGTACAAGAGAACGAAATGACCTAAAACTAATCATGTGCACACAATACTATGATTAGTAGCAAAAAATGAATCATATTGAGTAATACTGATGATAATTTTAATGCGATATTTATATTTCATCACTATGAGAAAATTTTTTAATTTAGAAACTCTATTCCTATCTCGATACTTCTACAGGATACATGCACATACTTTCTCCCATCCACATGCAATCTTTTTCATTGTGAGATCAAATCAATTAGTGCGTGGGATGCATGTATTCTGTAAAAGAACTCAATTTTCAACATTTTAGTCTTTCGATAATCCTTAACATCTAATATAGATTATGTTAGAAATAATGATTCACTATGATAAGAGCAGTAGATTCTAAAGTGTTGTTTTTTATTAGTTTTTTTCTTACTGTGAAATTTTAATTACATGATGTCATATATGTATATAGTTGATATTACAATAATCATCACTAATAATGCACTTTTGACAGAGTCTTAGCAACACGCGCGGCTTATTTTTTGACATCGATTATAAACAATATGTTTCTATTTGTTTGTCCTTGTTTTATTTTCTTGTCTTGATAGAAAACTATTGCATTCTATTATCTTTATCCTCTTACTAGGTCAATCTAATTGTTTTTATCATATCGCTCTTTTTGTTTGTTGATATTAGTATTATCACAGTTGTTTTCAATTAAGAACATATCATAACTCTAATTCCGAATATAGAGAGCGTCATCTACTTGATGACGATTCTCGAATAATATGTGTCATATGCGTGAGATATTATTAGTTAATCAAACTTCCAATTATAAATGAAGAGAGAAAAAAACAAAAAAAAAATATAGATTACTATCAAAATCATTACTAATTGAATATTATATAAATTAAAGTTGGATTTTTTTTTCATAAACTTCCTCCTATTTTTCAATAATATCTTGTTTACTAACTTTTTATAGGTATGTTTCGTGTAACAATATATGTGTGCTTAAAAAACAATATTTATCTGTTGCTTTTATGTAAATGTACTAAAAATTGAATTTCAGAGAAAAATTTTGCCTATCAATCTATATGGCATTTGCTTTTTCTTTTCTAATTTATTTTATTAATCTTTTCGTCATATGATATTAATATAATCCTTATCATATGTTAATTTCGATTATAATGGCCTATCGACAAGTCTCTGTTTTCTTTTTAAAAATCGTATTTTATTTTCTAATGAATTGTTTACTGGTTTTTTTTTCTCTTTCGTAGTGATGACGATGGGAAGAGTCACAAGGCAGGTGTGAGAGTCGCTTAGAGAGCAAACATGTATTGTGTAAAGAAAGACAAAACTTCCAAAGTTACAGCATATTGTGTATTTACTTCATTGACTCACAAAGTGTACATTGACAAATAAAAGACGAGGAGGAAAAAAAAGAATTCCTAGTATAAAATGAAAATTCTTCATTCTTATTATATGTCATAAATTCTTATCGTTTTAGTTGAGTACATAAGGTATTATGCAAATATTGATAGGCACTGTGTCATAAATTGAAGCATTTCCATTAATATCATTTTTTATTTTTTCTTTTCCTTATATCAACTTGTAGATTGTCATGTGATGAAATTTCGTCGAACTTATTTGAAATTACTATAAATATGGTTTCGCTTTGCGAATGTCGGTTTTTAAATCGGGCATTAACAATTGATGATATATCAAAAAAACCAAATTGTAATAACCTTAAATTTAAACGTGCTTTTCAATTTCTTCAGTTTCTTCTTATCCAACGTGTTTATGGTATGGATGTAATAAAATGTTCAGGAGTACGAAAACCATTAAAACATTCTCAACAAGAACAAGAACAAGAACAAGAACAACAACAAAATTATCAAGTTTTTTTAGGTGGTTCATGTAATCCTACAACATGGCGACATGACCAAGCTATACCTTATTTTCAATCACGTTCAGTTTCTTTTTTTAATCCACAAGTAACTGATTGGACACCGGATCTTATTGAAATAGAACATCGTGCAAAAGAATTAGCTCCACTTCTATTTTTTGTTATTGATCATGATACTCGAGCATTAGCATCAATTGTTGAAGTATGTTATTTAGCGGCACGTGGAAGAAGTATTATTGTTGTTATGAATCCAATGCCAGATAAAAACCATACAAAATTTGTTCAACAAAAAACTAACATTCATGAAAAAGATACTGAAGATGATTATGAAAATGTTTGTAAAGCTCGACGAACACTACGTACATTACTTCAAAATATGAGTATTCCAGTTTTTGATGATCTTCGATTAGCTCTTCAATGTGCTGCATATATACTTGAAACAACTAAACATACAGTAATAAATCATAGTGCGTGTAACGATGACAATAAAGAAGAGAATGGTCAACGAGGTAATTTATACTTTCGTCTACATCAAAACTTCTATATATATATATATTCTTTACATTTTCTAGATCCTCTTTCGCCATTAACAATGTCACCAAATGATGTCAATAATTGTCGGTCATCATCAGTTGTTGTTATCCGTTCTCTTTCAAACAAAACAACTTTTGAGTCATCTGATGATTTTTATCGACAAATGTACCAATCAGAATTACCATCAGCTCCTTCAAAACTTCTTCAGCGACGTATGAGTTCTTCATCTGAATCAAGTATAATTTAATATTGATTATCTTCAAGTTTTTTTTTAACTTTCTTCTTATTAATTAATTTATCAGATCGTCATCAATATCGTGTAACATCCATTTCCACAAAAACACAATTATCATGTTCAACAAATGAAAGTGATGATGATGGGTATAGTTCACTTGCATCAAGCAATCGTACTTTATCCATATCATCATCATCATTAACATCTGAATTATTTGAAGCTACTACAGAACAACAACGTGAAGAAAATTGTCTAGGGTAAAATAATTCATAGATTCATTATTGCGAATATTTTTTTTCTTGTTTTTCTAACTATTAGATCAAATAATAAATCACCAACTTCTATGATGAATAATTTTATATCAAATTTTTATTCTTATATACCTTTTGTACGTCCTTCAACTCCACCAGATTCATCTGTTTCACAATCACTCTTGGTTTTATTTACACTTCCTTTTCGTTTTATCAAAAATACTCTTCTTTCTGCTACTTTACCATCATCATCAACAACAATATTTTTTCCATCACCAGAACCAGTTATTTTAGAACCACCTTCGCCTATCTCTTCTTCTTCTTCTCGATTGTCAAACTATACGTTCGATATATATATAGCTTCCGGTGAAAATGATGAATATTGGGTTAATAAAATGGTAATACCAGCATTTGAAAAAATTAATCTTACTTTTACAAAACGACAATCTTATCGTGATAATGATCAAAGCGATTCTTTAAATGATCTGCATGTATGCAAACAATCAAGTGTATTATATTATTTAATTAATGGTAGCGAACGTTTATCACACTTAGCTACTGAACTTGCATTTCTTATTGGTGAACGTAAACATAAAATAATTGTTTATCTCCAATCAACTATTGATGAAAATACAGAACATATATTATCACCATGTGAACGACGTGATATTCAACGCTCGAGAAAATATCTAGAAGATTTAGCACGAAAAGAGAAAATAACATTGTTTCATTCACGTCATGAAAGTTTGCAAGGGGTTTTAGCTTGTTTCGATCAACAAAATTAGTTTGTATAAGACTCTAATCTGTTGGTTTCTTTTTCTTTTTTCTTTTATTTTCTTTACTACTGTCGTTACGCTGATTGTAATTCTTATTCTTACTATTATTGATGTACAGCTACATGATAATGATCATTAGATGGTTGTCAAGTATAAATTAGAAGATGACTATTTAATTTGAATTGTTGTATTATTGAATTCATCGATAATTAGAAGAAGAGAAGTCTATCTTAGTCATGATTTGTGATGGTACCAAAGTACGGCAACAAAAAAAAAAATATATTTTTTTCTTTTTATGTGCGTGTGTTATGTTTCATTGCTGACTGTATTTTATGATTTTTTTTCCTAGCAAAACAAAATGATTCTAAAACAAAAAAAAAAGAAGTGTTCTCTTACATATATGTGCAAGTGACAAATATTAAACATTTTAGTATTTTTGATTTCATAATTTCTTTTGTAGATTTGTTGTCACACGTCAGATAGGAGAAAGAAATAAAAAGGTGCTAATAACGAAAGAAAAAAAAATGTGTTTGTCAGTATTACGGTATGTATTAAAAAGAAAATAAAGACTGATAAAGTTTTGTATATCTAATTAATATTCAGATAAACGATTAGAAACTATGGCATTTACTTTTGGTACACCTACATCGACTGTTGATTCGGATGATTATATTTCATCGATAACAACAATGTCTGATCGATCTGACGAACAACAGCAACAACATTTGACAATATCTGATCATGCATCACGTACTGTTTCAAAAATTGCATCCTATTTTCGGCAAGGTTTTTTATGTGATGTTGTTTTTATTTGTGGTCATGGACAACTAAAACAACGAATTGCAGCTCATCGTCTTGTTATTGCAACTTTATCTGATTATTTTCGTGCTATGTTTGAAAGTAATATGCTTGAAACAAAACAACGTGAAATTATTATCAATGATGTTGATCCAGATGCATTTGAAAAACTTATATTATATGCATATGAAGGTAGGTTTATTTGAATAAAGGATTTTCTTGTCTTTTTGAAATTTTATTTAAATATTTATTAGGTCATCTTGACATTCATCAAGATAATGTTACAAATGTTCTTTGTGCTGCACATATGTTTAATATAATAGAAATAATTGAAAGTTGTTGTAAATATATTGAAAAACAACTTCATCCATCAAATTGTCTTGGTATATATAAATTTGCTTTACAACATGATTTACATGGATTAACACAAACTTCTTGGAATTATATTCTTGTAATTTTTTTTTTAATGAAAATTATTTTTGTAATTGAATTTTTGTTTTGAAAGGAACATTTCACAAATGTAATTCAAAATAATCATGAATTTTTTGAATTATCTTTTGATGAAATTAAACAACTTTTGACATCTGGTAAGTTAATTTTCTAGTCAGTGTCTATTTTGCGATGTTGTTATTTACATAATAAGTACTCGCAAGATTAGTTCATCGGTGATTGTGACATAATATCGACCTTGGGTTTTTTCCCATACTATCTATATTTAGTATTATTAGGAAAGAACAATGTAACCTTTTGTTATTAAATATTCAAATAAAAATACAAAGTATTAGAAAATAAAATATCAAAAATAAATTCATTTAAATATAAAAGTTTAAGATTCTATTATTGCTTTGTTCTGATAATTTCTTTTTTTATAAGACTAAAAGTGAAAGCTTACATGATGGTGCCATGTCTCAATATTCCAGAAATTGAACCATTGATTATTTTGCACATATCTTTGCTTAAATAAATAAAATAACGTTTTGAATGTTTTCTTAATTAATGCACCGTTCAATTCTCTAACTGAAAATGTCTATCGATTGGTTCTGATGGTGTTCTAGACAAGGGCATAACTTATGAAGGACGGCGATGACACTCTCCTGCTTCTGAATTTCATTCACATAGTGCACCTTTTTCTGTGATATGCATATGTAGAGTAAGCTTTTTCTTTCGTTCCCTGTACTCTGATTGACAATGAAAGTTTCTCACTATCAAACTATTAAATTTAAAATATGAGTTGCCTATAGCGTGCACTCAGCGAGATAATGGATTTTTTAGGCATTTAGAGTATATGCTAGATACCCACGAGTCAAACTTTCCACGCTATTCATAAAATTCAGAAGGCTTTTTTTGGGTCTATTTTCTTTATTTTTGAAGATAATGGTACCTTAAACTTTCTTTCATTAATTTTTATAAATTTCTAAGTTTGAAATGTAATTAATGCAAATTGACGATTTCTATCCAACTGTCATGAAAGAGAAACAAATAAATAGTGTTAAAATTTTGACTTGCGAATATCTTACATACACTGTAATAGAGCTTTAATTTGACCTGAATATATCTAATTTGTTCTCTAACAGCACAAAACCTTCCATTGTCAGAAAAGTTTTCTAATCCTTCCTCTACCCTGCATATCTCTATTCAGGGACTCAATTATTCTGTGTCCTTTGCCTCTCTACTGTCGAAGTTATGTCTCTGGTTTTGCAATCCTTGAAGTAAATATTTGTCTGATGATGCAGCATTCTACTATTTCAAGAATAACAAACCTTTTGAAAGTATGTTGTCATGAGAAATGATACCATCGTACATGTTTTCAAATGTCAAGAATATTTTCACTTCTGATTTTGTATAGAATTCAATGAGGGTATCTTTTGAAAGAAAATTGAACGAAATATCATTTGTTTGTGACGATATAAATGTAAAAATAAATAATGTTATTGACATTCTTTTTACTCCAAGATTGGGGAAAATGACGTCATTTGATTTTTTTTTCTTAATGTTGATGATTGTGAAGTGTCAACCATCGTGTAAGAAGTTTTTTTTTTCTTTTTGAATTTGATCTCTTTCTTATCAACAATGTAAAAAAACAGATGCTAAGCAAGATTTTATAAATATATATATTTTATATCTTAGGTGATATCAATGTGCAATCAGAAGAAATTGTTTTTGAAGCATTCCTTTCTTGGATTGTTTATGATAAAAAACGACAAACTGATCGTTTAGCACAATTATTTGGTTTAATAAGATTACCTTTAATTGATAAAAAAGTATAATTTTAATATATATATATTTTTTTTTGTTTCTAATAAATTAATTATTCATTTTTGCTTTTTTGAAATAGTATCTAACAGATTATATTGATACGAATCAAATTTTTAAAGATGATTCTTTATGTCAGATGCTTATTGTTGAGACAATGCGTTATCATTTAGCGCCTGAAAAACGTTCGTCAATGCAATCAATAAGAACTAAACCAAGAAAAGCTACACTTGGCTCTCTATATTGTCTTGGTGGAATGGATAGTGCTAAAGGTAAAACAAACAAACAAAAAAATATATATGAAGTGATTGGTTTAATGATTTATTAAACGAATATGTATGTTTAAAATTAGGTCCACAGACTATTGAACGATACGATTTTCGAACTCGTTCTTGGCAACCTGATGGTCATTTAAATACTCGTCGTTGGCAATTTGCTTGTGTTATCTTGAATAAAAAATTATATGTATGCGGAGGACGAGATGGTCTCAAAACGTCAGTAAATTTTCATGTATATTATAATAAATATATACTGTCTTGTTTGTTTGTTCTTCTATAGATTAAATAGTATAGAAATATTTGATTTTCAAAAGAAAACATGGAATGTTGGACCACCCATGCTTACTAATCGTCACGGTTTAGGTGTTGGATGTATTGGTGGACCATTATATGCTATTGGTGGTCATGATGGATGGAGTTTTCTTAATACAGTTGAACGTTTTGATCCAGAAACTTGTGTATGGTCATATGTTGCATCAATGGCTAATGTACGATGTTCACTTGGTGTTACTGTACTTGAAAATCGGTAAGATTTAAATCATCGATTGAAAAATACTTCTATTATAATTGGATTTTTGTAAAATAAAATCCGATTATATTTGAATTTTTTTTTATTAAGTAAATATTATCTTTTCGTTTTTTTTTTATTTTGAAGAATTTATGCTGTTGGAGGTCGAGATGGTGCTGCAGGTCTTCGTGAAGCTGAATTTTATGATCCACATACTAATCGTTGGTCACCGTGTGCACCAATGCAGAAACGTCGTGGAGGTGTAGCTGTAGTTGCTTGTAATGGATTTTTATTTGCGATAGGTGGTCATGAATCATCGGCAACAAATAAATGTACTGTTCGTCATGATGATGGTGAACGTTATGATCCAAGAAGTGATCAATGGACATTAATTACTTCATTAAATCGACCTAAAGAAGCTTTAGCTATTGCTGCAGTTAGTGATAAATTATATATTGTTGGTGGTTTTGATGGAAAAGTACTTGATGAAGTTGAAAAATATGATCCAGAGATAGATAAATGGACGAAAGTAAAAAAAAAAGAAAAAAACAAGACTTTTATTGTTATTTAATACAAATAAATATTAAATATATATTTTAGTGTCCATCGTTGGGAACAAAAAGAGCCGGTGCTTGTCTTATTCATGTTCCTAATTCTATTCATCAATCATCATTACCAATATCATCATCATCATCATCCTCATTTTCATCATTATCTTTGCTTACTACAAGTTCTTATACTTTATCGTCACCCACATCATTTGCTAAACGAAACAAAGATGTCTCAGCTAGTTGTCATCAATTAAGTCGTCTTGTTCTTTCATAGGACATTTTTATTAGCTCAAAATATGTGTGTCCATTTTTATGGTTCTTTGATTCTATTTCATAGATGTAGCATCGTTTTTTTTCTATTTCTTTTTTTTCTTCTTGTGTTAGAATTCTGACTTTCGATCTCATATTTATTAAATTTATATATAAATAGATATAAGTGTATTGGCTATCATTGAATTTGGTTCCTTTTTTTCTTTCTTTTCTTTTTCGTTACAGGTTTTTTTTTTGTATTAAAAATGATGATAAATATAAATAGGATTTTCTTTCGTAGATAAAATATGACAGAATCTATTGCTCCACCTGATACAACCGTTTTTGGAGATCATGAACGGCCCAAAAGAATATTTAAAATTATTGTTATTGGAGACTCACACGTTGGTATGAATATTGAGATTGTTTAAAAATGATATTTTATATTCAATTTCAGGCAAAACATGTTTGACATATCGATTTTGTTCAGGAAAATTTCCTGAAAAAACTGAAGCAACTATTGGTAAGATATTGTGATGTATCATTAATAATACATATTTACTTCACTTTTTGTTAGGTGTGGATTTTCGAGAAAAAACATTGGAAATTGATGGTGAAGTATTTAAAGTATATTTATAAATGAAAATAATATATATTCATTAATTAATAATCATTGATCTTTTTCTTTAGCTTCAAATTTGGGATACAGCTGGACAAGGTAAGTTTATAAAAATAAAACAAAAAGGCTTTTCTTTTTCTTTTTTTCTTAAGTTTGATTATCTATTTATTTTAAATATTTGATGAAATTTTTCATTATAATCTTAAATAGAGAGATTTCGTCGATCAATGATCAATCATTACTATCGAAATGTTCATGCTATTCTCTATGTTTATGATGTTACTAATTTGGCTTCATTTGAAAATCTTCCTGGATGGATTAGTGAATGTGATAAACATGTACTCGATCAAGATTTACCACGTGTTTTAGTTGGCAATAAATGTGATGTACCAACTGATGAAGTTGTCGTACCTAATAATGTTGCTCAACGATTTGCTGTATATATATTTATATATTAAAAATTCTAAAGAATTTATCAAATATTTTTATTTTCTCTAGGATGTTCATAATATGCCATTATTTGAAACATCAGCTAAAGCAGATGAACATCAAGATCATGTCAATTCAATATTTATGTTAATTGCACATAAACTTAAACATTCAAAACCACTTATGTCACAACCAAAATTATATGCACATCGTAATGTTTCAATAACATCATCACCTACATCATCTAACGATCCGAATTATTGTACATGCTAAACTTGACAAAAATATCTATAAACTAGCTTTATCAAGAATTTAAACAAATAGCGCAACGTATTTGCAAATGTACGTGTATGAACCATATTCATTCATTACTTTTGTCTCAGTCGCTCGCTCGCTCGCTTCATATATATATATATAATTACATAGATATGTAATAATCATTCTTTCTTCTATTCCATTTCTAATATTTATTGCTAAGTCGAATATATATTTTTGTTTGCTTTAATAGTTGTTACTGTTACTGATATAATTTACCTTTGTGTTGAATTGTTTGTTTAAATGGAAGGGATTTTTTCGCGAACGAGTGACATTTCTACCGATACTGTGTTATATTTAATCTTCTAAAACATTTGAAAATTCAATATAAATATTATATTTTAAATACTTTGTATTATTCTTTCATAATATGATTATTGATTAACAAACGTCAAAAGTAAGAAAAATCAAAACTTTACACACCTACCTATTGAACAAAACAAAAAAAAACCAATCAACATTGATTTTCATCCTTGTATGATTTGAAGATGGTCGAAGTTGGTGTAATTAAAGAATAAGACAAGGACGAAAGAGTATCTGTTTATGGTATGTGAAAGAAATGTTAATTAAAATAATTTTTGATCGTACTAAATAAAGAGTTCAACATCAGGTGTGAATTATTGTCATTGTATTCCACCGAAACTAAACATAGCAGTAAGAAACTTCCGTATATGAACCAAAACAGGACGTGATCATCTTTCATTTGGCTTTGATTCTTTATAAAAGTTATTTTTTTGGATGAGTTCTTTAACTAAAAATATATGTAAAAATCCTAGCTCTTTCAGTTAACAGCTCATTAAAATTAACTAATGAATATCTCTATTACCTTATGTCAAAAAAAGTATCAAAATTACAGGATAGATTCTATACTATGAACTACATATATGATGGAATTTTCAGTGAGATCGGATTCCAAAAATCAATTCTCCAGAGATCTTGTCATCTTTTGGACCGAAAGTTTTTGTTCTGCTATCATCTCAAAATCACCAAGAAAGACTTGCACCATTTAGAATTGATATTTCTATTTCTCATTCAATTATTTGAGGATTTCTGTATTCTCTACTCGTATTCATTGACATCATCTTGGTAGTTTTTCAATGATAACTCTTCTGAAGAACGATCGTTCAGGCTGGTTTTTTTCAAGCTATTTAAAGTAACTTTAGATATGTATGACACGTAAGAATTAGCTCAAGAAAAGTTCACTATCTAGAGATATACGTTAATTTCGCGAAGTCCCATTACTAACGAATGAGTTAGATGCTAACTTTTGAAATGTTTTTTCGAATATCATGATAAGCAACTTCAAGAAGTTACATATTGAAACCATTTTATATTTATTTGAGAATTTATTAAAACTAAAAGAATTGATTTAACTCTGAACTTTGTAAATGGATTCAAGATAACTTTTCTTAAAAGAATATTGATGAATCGCCATTTGCAATCGTACTTGATGTTGTAGACGAAAAACATCTCTAGTAATTCAAAGCAATTTAATTCCATAACTTGAGTGTTATCAAAACCATGAGTTTTAGTTTGATAAATAGAAAGCTAATAAAATAAACTTTGATTTTCTCAAGAAATATTTATTTCTCCTATGTTTTCATATCGGTAAAAGTTAATATGCATAGTAGATGCATCACTGCTCTAGATCTACTCTATGTTAGAATTTTATTTCTCTACATATTATTGTTACAGAGATACAAATAATGTCATAATTATAAAAATTTTTGAATTACTTTTAGAATTATCTGGCATGTTTTATTTAGTGATGCTATATAAAAACTTTTATTTAGAGAAAAATTTATAAATCAAAGTTTTTTAAAGAAAAATAATAACAAATTGTATATCAATGTTTATATATCTTCTTCCGATTTTAATTTATCACTTACTAAAATGAATATAAGTTATTTTTTCTATGAGGCATTTCATATACAATCTCATATGCAATATTCAAAATTCTCAATGAGTTTAGTTTTACTTAGTTAAGAAAAAAACACGAGTTACAACTTGATTCAGAAAAACAGTAGTTATCCACGAAACCATTCAAGCTGTATGACAGTCATTTTATTTTTCATATAATCAATTTGTACGTTTTAATTGCAAATTTTTGTGATTTTGTTGCTACTCAGATCTCTACAATAATAATAATAATAATACTTAACAAGTTGAAATTCTAATCTAGAGTATTATCTGGACATGTAATGCATTTAGTTGTCAATATTAACTTCGAATTTGTATGGAAATATATAAGAAAAGAATATTGTTTGATAGAATCACAACTTATTAAACATACTTTACACATTGAATCAATCATTGTTTGTACTTTTATCTGTATTCATTCATTACAAAGGCAGAAAATTTAAATAAAATACATTGGAAAACAAGAAAAGGATGAAATATGATCATTTCTTTTGTCGAATCATTTCACTGATAGAACTCGAAATCTTTGATTCTTTATTCAGTAATAAGATCTGTTCTCCTTGCTTCATAGCTAATCGTCGATCAGAAAACCAACATATCATATATAAAATTGCATCAATAATATAAATAAAATCACCAAGAATAACAATAATTTGTGTTAATGGTACACGAATAATAATTATTGCTAATACATACAGTAATGATCCTAACAAGTTTAGACTATTAGCCCAAGAATATAAAATACTCGATCCAGGAACTATCATATTTATTGCAGCACCAATTGCAAAACTACCAACACCAATTCTATTAAATATTAAAACTGTATTTGTACTTGTGAAATGTGTCGCTGTGAATAATGCGCCAAGTAGATAAGCGTGACTTCCAACTTTATCAAATATACAAGAGACGACCATAAAAATATATCGATCAATATTACGATCAATATTGTAAACTACTATTAATTGTAAAGTACAATCAATTACGAATACACCTGCAAGAATAACATAGATAATAGCAGATAACGATGAATTGAGAGTATTTGGATACACATAATCCAATCCATCCATTAAAAAATAACCAATCATACCAAAAGTAAATATAATGTTGGCCCAAAATGACCAGAAAAGGGCACGAGTAGGAAAAAATTTTTCTTCCATGTATAATTACTCTATATCAATCTGGTAAAGATTCTTTTTTTTCTTTGTTTTTTACATACAAAAAGAGTCACAGCTGACACTACACTTATATACCACTACAAAGATCTATCTGTGATTTTTATTTTCTATTATGCTATCAGACGTAGGCGGCTACATAACAATAATAATAATATTCGAAAATTATATATTTTAAATGATTTCGAAGACATTTCGTCGACTATTGACACATGAGTTCAGCACTAAATTGAAATGTGTATAGATAAATTACAGATGGAACTATTTCCACGTAGGATACACATGAAAGCTTATAGATGGGGGGAATATTGGCAAATCTTTTTATTGCAAACTTTTTTTAAAAATAAAGTAAAAAGAAATGTTACATGTGTATGCAGCGAAAAATCTACAAATTTTGTGTAACAGACGCATATAAATAGTCTAACAGAATATACTTTGTTATATATTAGTATGAGTAATGGACATTATTCATAGAATTTCATTTAGATCATCGATAGATATTAATACTAAATATATTTCATGTTTTTTTTTTATAGTTCGTCAGGAGATCGCCTTATTCTTTAAGTTTTC